ATCTCCAGCAGCTCAAACAGACGCGGAGGGAAAAACTGAAAATCCTGAATATTTGGCTGCTTCGGAGGACGAGGAGCCTGAAACAAACGCAGAGGTACAGAGTTACTGACTGCACGTTCACAATATTTACACTGAGTTATTAGTTTATCAGGTCGGCCATATACCATATCGACAGGTTTACAGTTACAGACCACCATAAGACCACCACAGACCAGGTATTATTTGGGTGGCTGACCATTTTCTGTTAGTGACAGTATTAGCAACAGTGCTGGCCTGGGAACAAAACCAGAGGTCACACCCATTTTTTCCCTTTGTTGTGATGTCAGCACTCATTGGTACTCAAAATTTTTCATAACTCCCAGCACCCCCCAAAATACACCCAATATCCTAAAATACTCACCCAACACCCTCAAAATGCACCCAATTTCCTAAATTATTCACCCAACACCCCCATAAATACAGCCAATATCTTAAAATACTCACCCAACACCCCAAAATACAGCCAATATCCTAAAATACTCACCCAACACTCCCATAAATACAGCCAATATCCGAAAATACTCACCCAACACCCCAAAAGACACTCAATATCCTAAAATACTCACAAAACACCCCCAAAATACACCCAATGTCCTAAAATACTCAACCAACACCCCCAAAATACACCCAATGTCCTAAAATACTCAACCAACACCCCAAAATACTCACCCAATATCCTAAAATACTGCCCCAACACCCCCTAAAATACTCAGCCAACACCCCAAAATACACCAATATCCTAAAATACTCACCAACACCCCCAAAATACACTCAATGTCCTAAAATACTCAACCAACACCCCCAAAATACACCCAATATCCTAAAATATTCACCCAACACCCCCAAAATACACCCAATATCCTAAATTCCCCCCAACACTCCCAAAATACACCCACTATCTCAAAATACTCACCCAACACCCCCAAAAATACCACTAATATCCTAAAATGCTCCCACAACACCCCCAAAAATACTGCCAATATCCTAAAATACTCTCCCAACACCCCCCCCCCAAAAATACTACCAAAATCCTAAAATACTCACCCAATACCCCCAAAATGCACACAATATCCTACTATATTCCCCCAACACCCCCAAAAGATCCCTAAAATCCTAAAATTTTTAGGGTGTTTGGGGGTTTTAGGGGGTTAAAGGGGGTATTTAGAGGGTGTTCACTGATGTCATTCAGGGGTGTTTGGGCTTATTGTGGGGGTACTGTAGGGTATCTTGGTGTATTTTGAGGTATTGGGGGTAAGTTGGGAGTGCTGGGTGAGTATTTTAGGATATTGGGGGTGTTTTGGGAGTGTTGGGCGAGTATTTTTAGATATTGGGGTATTTTGGGGGTGTTAGGAGAGTATTTTAGGATATTGGGGGTGTTTTGGGGGTGTTGTGGGAGTATTTTAGGATATTATTGGTATTTTTGGGGGTGCTGGTTGAGTATTTTGAGATAGTGGGTGTATTTTGGGAGTGGTGGGCGAGTATTTTAGGATATTGGGGGTATTTTGGGAGTGCGTACGACTCTAAATCCATGCACGCACGCTGTATATGTGTACCTGTGTATATGCGATTTGTACGAATGCGTATGCCTGGATATTACGTGAGTGTGTGTGTTTGTACCTTCGGAGCTCTGGGCTCGCTGACTCTGAGCGCCTCTCTGAAATAAGCGTCCACAGCATAGTTCGCCTTCCTCTCTCTCTTAGGAGGCTCGATCCACTCCATTGTACTCAACTACAACACACTCAAAGCGTTACTGTGATACACACACAGAATTACGACTGGCTGAAAAGGATTCTACCTTACAAATATTCAGTAGAAAAACAGAAATACTCCATCTCTCCCTCTGACCTTCTGTTTTTCTCTGTAATCTTCTCCCTCGAAGTTGTACAGGCTGGTTTCTCCGCTGCTGGTGTCCATGGTGAAATTTCTCAGCGAACTTTCGCCCAGTTTCTGCATCCTCTCGTTCATCTCCGCCGTCTGCAACGAGAAGCAGAGTTATGTGGAAGGAAGCGAAGTAGCTCTGAACTGAAATTAACACCGAATTAAAACAGAACTGTCTGAACTCCGAAAAGCCCCACAGTTTAAAACAAAGGCTCGGCTTTAACACGGCGGTATTGTTCGGTTCTGGACCTTCTTGGCTCCTCTCTCCAGGATGGAGTCAATGTGCTCATCCGTCAGCTCGCTGTCTTTGGAGGCGAAGACGTGAGTGGCTCCGTGTCGGATCATCTGCAGCATCTCGTCTTTACCCAGTTTATTCTGCTGCTCAATCAGACGACCTGATGAACACGTACAGTGAAAATAAGCTTATTACACCTCGAAGACCCCCAGACTGACTGCTTTTATTCAGTGTTTTAAAGCTTAGATTTAAGGCATTCAGTAACTACAGCAGCAGGTAATGTTAGTTTAATGCACACCTCTGTGTCGCCATAGCAACCCCGTATTATCCAAGGGCTGTCATGTCATGTCAAGTATTTTCTTTAAAAGTAGAAACAATCAACAGACATAAAAAGTCCATATATACAGTGGAGGAAATAAGTATTTGATCCCCCACTGATTTTGAAAGTTTGTACTCTGACAAATAATTAAAGAGTCTATGATTTTTATGGTAGCTTCATTTTAACAGTGAAAGATGGAATATCGAAAAGAAAATCTAGAAAATTAAATAATATTTAAATAAAAATTAATTTGCATTTCATTGAGGGAAATAAGTATTTGATCCCCTAAAAACCATGACTAATGTTGGCTCCCACAGACCACTGACACACCCTAATCTCAGTGAAGTCGTTACCTGCATGAGAGACACCTGTCCCAAATTGTCACCTGTATAAAAGGCCACCTGCCAACAGACTCAGTGACACTCCAACATCTCCACCATGGGCAAGACTAAAGAGCTGTGTAAAGATGTCAGGGACAAAATTGTTGACCTATACAAGGCTGGAATGGGCTACAAAGCCATAAGTAAGAAGCTGGATGAGAAGGTGACAACTGTCGGTGCAATTATTCGGAAGTGGAAGAAGTACAACATAACTGTCAATCGACCTGGAGCTCCATGCAAGAGATCACCTCGTGGAGTCTCACTGATCATGAGAAAGGCTAAAAATCAGCCAAGAACTACACGGGAGGAGCTGGTTAATGATCTCAAGGCAGCTGGGACGACAGTCTCCAAAAAAAAACATTGGTAATACAGTGAGATGTAATGGTTTAAAATCCTGCAGTGCACGCCAGGTTCCTCTGCTCAAGAAGGCTCACGTCCAGGCCCGCCTCAAGTTTGCCAATGAACATATTAATGACTCCGAGAGAGACTGGGAGAAGGTGCTGTGGTCAGATGAGACCAAAATTGAGCTCTTCGGCCTCAACTCAACTCGACGTGTTTGGAGGAAGAAAAATACAGAATATGACCCTAAGAACACCATCCCCACCGTCAAGCATGGTGGTGGAAGTATTATGTTTTGGGGGTGTTTTTCTTCTAAGGGCACAGGCCAACTTCACCGCATCGGCGGGAAGATGAACGGGGCCATGTATCGCAAAATCCTGGGTGACAACCTCCTCGCCTCCGCCAGGGCACTGAAAATGGGTCGTGGATGGGTCTTCCAGCACGACAACGACCCAAAACATACAGCCAAGGAAACAAAGGAGTGGCTCCATAAGAAGCATATCAAGGTCATGGAATGGCCTAGCCAGTCTCCTGACCTCAATCCCATAGAAAATCTATGGAGAGAGCTGAAGCTTCGCGTTTCCAAATGCATGCCTAAAAACCTGGATTTGGAGATGATCTGCAGAGAGGAGTGGCCCAAAATTACTCCTGAAGTGCAAACCTTATAAAAGACTACAAGAAACGTCTGACTGCTGTGCTTGCCAACAAGGGTTTTGCCACCAAGTATTAAATGATGTTTTACTAGGGGGTCAAATACTTATTTCCTTCAATGAAATTCAAATTAATTTTTATTTCTCATTTCATGTAATTTCCTCAGTTTTTCTTTTGATATTCTATGTGTCACTGTTAAAATAAAGCTGGCATAAAATTGAGACGTTTCATTTATTTTTCTGTATTAAAACTTTTAAAGTCAGTGGGGGATCAAATACTTGTTTCCTCCACTGTATTCAAATTTACCATAGTTAATAACACTTTTAACATTTATTAAGGCCTTTAATTTTTACAACAAAATTTCAATCAAGGCTTTTTAAGGACCTGCACTACAAATCAGGACGTGACTATGATCAATTATTCACTCCTAAAAATGAAGCTGCTAAAAACGGTTCTTTGTGCGGTTCTGTAGAAGAACTGCCTTTTGATCGATGGTTTTTCAGTAAACCACTTTCGTAAATTAAATTTGTGAGGGTTTCATTTCTAACATTTCTAAACTTTAAAGACGCTCCAAATAAGGTATAGATCTGATGAAGAACCTATAAATTGGTATAGAAAATAATATTAATTATTCAGTAACTAATATGAATTATTCAGTAACTACTTTGAATTATTCAGTATTTACTATGAAATTTCAGTATTTGCTATGAATTACTCAGTAACTACTATGAATTATTCAGTAACTATTATTAATTATTCAGTAACTAATATGAATTACTCAGTAACTACTATGAATTATTCAGTACCTACTATGAATTATTCAGTAACTACTCTAAATTTTACAGCAACTACTATAATTTATTCTAAATCTACTGTGAATAATTCAGTAGGCTTTATAAATTACTCAGTTTATTCTATGAATTATTCCGTATCATTCAGTACTTTAAACTACTCAGTAACTTTCATAAATGATTTAGTAATCACTCTGAATTATTCAAAAACTTAAATTACTAATCTAAATTATTCAGTATTTAATATGAATTTTTCAGTATCTACTATGAATTATTCTGAAGCTACTATAAACGATTGGGTATCTGCTGTGAACTATTTAGTCCCTATTTTGCATTATTCATTAAGTATTATGAATTATTCAGTAGTCTGTGAGCACCTTGCTGTATGACTATCGAGTCCAGACGGAGCTTCATCTCTGCTCTCTCTACGATTCTCTCCTCCACCGTGTTTTCCGTGATGAGTCTGAAAACTCGAACCGGTTTCTTCTGACCAATCCTGTGAGCTCGATCCTACAGCAAACACAAATACACACTCCATCAGTGTGTGTGTGTGTGTGTGTGTGTGTGTGTGTGTGTGTGTGTGTGTGTGTGTGTGTGTAAGAACAGTGTTTGTGGACAGCAAACCAAGAACACAAACACAATATTTCTCAAAGGAACAGCTCGAAAAAAAACATGCTAAAACGGCCAACAAATCAGTGTAAGCTAGGAGTCACAAATTAGCACAACTACATCTGCTATTTTATTTCATTAGCAAGATTAGACTTATTGACTCAGTCCTCATATTGGTCTTCATGAAGTCTCACATTTTTGATCAATCATATGGAGCTGAATGTCTCGCCAGTATCTACTGTAGTTTAAAAAAAAAAAAAAAAAAACAAACTTTCTTTTGAATTATTTCTGACTTGTAGCTCATTATAAGTTGTTTATAAGGTGTTTATAAGTAGAAGAGAAAACGCTGCTCGCTGTTTTTGCACATGTGCTGAGAAATCCGAAAGAAATCAGAGTGAAGCTGCTTTCACACTGAACGCAGTACGCACTGCGCTCGCTGCTCACGTACAGACGCTTTCACCCGACTCGCAGCTGGGCGTGAAAGTGGACAGCGCTCTCTGATAAATCTATCCTTTTCGAACAGCGAACCAGACACGCCTGCTGCTTTCCTATTGGCCGCGCCGTCACTCTGCCGAAACGCGTTAAGACCCTGTGCTTCTGCTGCGGTGGACTCCACACAACGAAAATCCGTGTCTGCGCTGCACATCCCATTGAAAATAACGTGTTCGGAAGCACAACAGGGATTTTTCCATGCTCAGCATGAAAGCAGCTTGAGAGTTTACAAGCACTTAAAACCCCATTACTGAGCTAAAATCCAGCTCTCTTTATCCGATCTAAGGAATCAGAATGTGCTGTTTACACGACCATATAATTATAAGTTTGTGTGTCTGTTTCTCACCATGGCCTGCAGGTCCACCTGGGGGTTCCAGTCCGAGTCGTACAGGATGACGACGTCTGCGGTTGCCAGGTTGATTCCAAGTCCCCCTGCTCGAGTGCTCAGCATGAAGATGAACTTGGAGCTGTTGGGCGCGTTATACGTTTCAATCGCTTTCTGGGGTGAACACACATTATAGGAACATCATTACAATGTTTACGGGACACAGATTACTGCGCTAAAATATCTGCATTTTATTCATGTTGCTGCGTTTATAACCCTACAGAAATAAATTTGATATTTCTCTGTAATGCTAGTTTTCTATATACGTTTAGTATCAGCATCAATATTTGCAAAGAGATACATGGAAAATATCAGATATCAACATCAGCCTGTAGTTCCCACCCCTAGAAATAACCACAGCCCTTTCTTTTATGGAGTCACACTCCACAGCGCTATTTTGGGTATCACGAGGGTGACGTCCAAGACAGTTTTACTAAAGTACACTGAAATGCCAAACAGGTTCTAGATATTAACTCCAAAGTGCTGAAAACATGTACAGTGGCATTAGGAACCGTGACGACCCGACACGCCCCTCCTGCCAGGAGGTGCGCATGTTTAGACTTTTGCTAGTTTAATCTTAATGATTTCTGATACGAACCACTGTATTTGTGAGATTATTAACTGTCCGTAAGGAAACGGTGGAACTTGTTTTGCTCAGCGTTTACGCACTTCTGTTTCTTGTGAAAAGGGCCTGCTGGTCTGTGGGTTTCCTGGGTTGCTAAATCAGTACCTTAAAGGCTAGTTATTCTGAAATAACTACATTTTTTTCCGGTTAAAATAGAAACACTGTCAAAATTAAACAGGTCTGGATAGGACAGCATCTGTTCGCCCATTAGTGACCACTAATGTACAATCTCGTTATGTCATATTACTATTTAACTACTTTACCCCTGCTCAGAGCAGCGTTTATTTGTGTTCTCTGTGGCTCTAAATCGATATATACACCGATCAGGCCTAACATTATGACCACCTCACGTCCACTCACCGTCCACTCTATTAGACACTCCTACCTTGTCAGTCCACCTTAGATGTAAAGTCAGAGACGATAGCTCATTTGCTGCTGCACAGTTTGTGTTGGTCATCCTCTAGTCCTTCATCAGTGGTCACAGGACGCTGCCCACAGGACACTGTTGGTTGGATGTTTTTGGTCCTCAGTCCAGCAGCAACACTGAAGTGTTTAAAAACTCCAGCAGAGTTGCTGAGAATGACCCACCACCCAAACACTACCTGCTCTGTGAGGGTCCATGGGGGTCCTGACCACTGAAGAACAGGGTAAAAGGGGGCTAACAAAGTATCAGAGAAACAGATGGACTACAGTCTGTAACTGTAGAGCTACAGAGTGAAACTATGTGGTCAGTGGAGCTGATAATGAGCGTAGAAACAAGGAGGTGGTCAGAATGTTAGGCCTGACCGGTGTATATTGTCCAAATGACATTAAAAAGTTTGTTTTATGTGGTGATGTTGACTGTTGGCTGTAAATTTCAATGCTATTCACAACTGTAAACTGTCACACTTCTGAGTTGCCCCTCTGCCTCCACTGACTCCACTTACTACAGCTCCCATAATCCTCTGAACAGTCACGTCACGGACTCAGCCGGTCAGGGATCATTACTCAGATCTACATCAACATTTTACCGAACTGTTCGCACCTGTTGTTCATTTCCCACCTGCTATATAAACCTGTCTGCTCTGCCATCCCTGCCTGTTGCATACCGAGCGTTCTCTGAATGTGTTTTCCGTGTTCAGAACCATTTTCCAGTTATCATTTCTCTCTTTTGGACATCCCGTTTGCACTGTTGTTTCGGCTTGTTTTCTACCTCGGCTCTGACTCTTACATGATTTTGGATTCTATCATTAATCTAATCCTCATGTTCGTCTTTCGGCTACTCACGGTTTTGATCTGGCCTGGCTTCACTGTTTTTGTTTGCTCCTTCTTAATAAAAAACCTTTGATATTTTATCTGCGATCGTCTGCTTAGTCTGCAAACGTTGCATAAACACTGGCTAAGCTGGCCCAGAACAATCACAGTGGATTGCCTACTTGTTTAGACTCATGTGAGTGAACTTTGTGCGCGTATGTGTGAGATTCTACTTCTCTGTCCTCGTGCGGTGTGTTGCCGTCCAGTCTGCAGTACTCGTATCCCTTCCACATGCAGTAATCCTCCAGAATGTCCAACACACGGGTCATCTGACTGAAAATCAACACCCGAGAACCTGCAAACAGACACAGGTTTACACAGCTGTGTGTAAGTTTGGGCAGCCCTGACCAAATCGCATCCTCTATAGAGACCACAAAACATTCTTCTGCAGATTTCAGTGAACAACTAATATTTATTAAAATAAATAATCTTCATTCCCAAGGGCCTACAGGCTGCTCAGTCATAAATTTAAAAATCAGTTTTAATCTATTTCTTAATAATGTTCATCTAAGGACTCGGTCTTTGGCCAAAATTCTCTCACACGCCTACATACACCGATCAGGCATAACATTCTGACCACCTCCCTGTTTCTACGCTCATTGCCCATTTTATCAGCTCCACTTACTATATAGGTGCACTTTGTAGTTCTACAGTTACAGACTGTAGTCCATCCGTTTCTCTGATACTTTGTTAGCCCCCTTTTACCCTGTTCTTCAGTGGTCAGGACCCCATGGACCCTCACAGAGCAGGTACTATTTGGGTGGTGGATCATTCTCAGCACTGCAGTAACACTGACGTGGTGGTGGTGTGTTAGTGTGTGTTGTGCTGGTCTGAGTGGATCAGACACAGCAGTGCTGCTGGAGTTTTTAAACACCTCAGTGTCACTGCTGGACTGAGAATAGTCCACCAACCAAAAATATTCTGCCAACAGCGTCCTGTGGGCAGCGTCCTGTGACCACTGATGAAGGACTAGAGGATGACCGACACAAACTGTGCAGCAGCAGATGAGCTATCGTCTACAAGGTGGACTGACAAAGTAGGAGTGTCTAATAGAGTGGACAGTGAGTGGACACAGTGTTTAAAAACTCCAGAAGCACTGCTGTGTCTGATCCACTCAGACCAGCGCAACACACACTAACACACCACCACCACGTCAGTGTTACTGCAGTGCTGAGAATGATCCACCACCCAAATAGTACCTGTTCTGTGGGGGTCCATGGGGGTCCTGACCACTGAAGAACAGGGTAAAAGGGGGCTAACAAAGTATCAGAGAAACAGATGGACTACAGTCTGTAACTGTAGAACTACAAAGTGCACCTATATAGTAAGTGGAGCTATACTGTAATATACTATAAGTGGAGTGTTCACAGTTTTGATAGTACTTTTTTAAAACGTGGCACTACTGCGTCTTTTTTCTCTGTTCTGTTATCGTGATAAATTATATTCTAATACATTACAGTGTGGTCAGCGTATAATTCTGAATATTAACAAAATAACTGAATCAAATCTGAGATCTGAGATTTCACTGAATCATCTGATGAAGAATTGTAATCAAACTGAATCGTTAGAGGTTATGAGGTCAGGCCCCCCACCTTGCTCCTGGACTTTGGGTAGTAGTTTGTCCAGAACGAGCATTTTCCCGCTGTTGGTGACCAGGTGTGTGTCGGTGGTGTACGGCGGTCCAGGCTCTGCCCCGTCGAACAGGTACGGGTGATTACAGCACTTCCTCAACTGCATCAGAATGTTCAACAAACGCATCTTATCCATCTTCCCTGCAGAGTTCAGGATGTCGATGTCCTTCATCAGGATGCGGGTGTACCTGCACAAACAGCCAAACACAGAGAACATAAAATCACAGTACATAAAAAACATACAAACCCAAAAATATAAGACACAGCGCAGGGCAATATGGCGATATTTTACTATTATTGTGATAAATTACATCACAATATGCTTTTCTGAGTGTATTATGGATATCGACAGTACATAACACTGACCAGCTGCATGTCTGATTACAAAGAGAACATAATTAGGCCGGTTTAACTGGATTTAGGGCTGGGCAATATGACGATACATATAATTATCATGATAAATTATGTCACTCAACATTAGAGATGAAACGATATTAAAATTTCATATCACGATTATCGGTATTATCGCGATATTGTTCAAATGTTTTGAAAAGTTAAATAAATAAAAAAATAAATACTGATACACAAACTGAAACTCGTTTCACCAACTTTTATTTTAATAAGGTCAATACATTTTCAGTATTACTTTTGTATTACTTACAATACTTGTAATACTCTGTAAACAAAAGAACAGCAAATGTATCATTATTACAGTTATTATTATTATTATTATTATTATTACTGTTATTATTCTTTTTCTTCTTCTTATTATTATTATTATTATTAATTACAATAACTAAGGATTTCCTCCTCGAGAAGGGATTTCTGTCCGAACTGCAGCTGCAGCATTATTGTGCCGTTGTGGCGCTGAACCCCTAATCAACACAGCGCACCAGGAAAAACAGCCAAAATCACAGAGGAACTGCGTGACGCGCTGTGAGCTGCAGACAGTGTAGAACTCACACAGCGTGTCTTCACCTGTGGAGCTGCTTCTCTAAAAGCATTAAAAACTAAAACATAACTTACAATTAACGCGCATCTGAGCTGCGGCAGAAACACTCCTGAAGTTTAATCTCTGAAACTCTGCTTTTCCTAAAAGCAGCACAGCGTTTACTCGCGCGAGGTCCCGTCTCAAAGCACACTATCTTCCCTATGTAGTGCACTTCGTAGATCATGAAATAGCAAATCCTTCACCCAAAGACTGCAGGAAATGTTCGACTCAGTCATCTATAATCAACATTAACAACAGGTTACAAATCCCCTATTTAAAACTCAGTTGCTTGTTAATGAAGATCGTGTTTGTTTGAACAGTAGCGCCCTCTGTAGGGGACACTGAGTGATTTGAGACGGTGTTACTCTCAGACAGTAAACGCTGCAAGCGAGGCAAGAAAGGGGAGCTGTGCAGATTGAACCTCTGCAGCGTCTCGTTCCAGAGCTCGTGTGACTGTTAACTCAGAGCTCATTTTGGAGACTCTGCTCCACAGAAATGTGTTAAAAGCTTTAGTTTCGATTCACAGTTGATTCACCGATTGTTTTTCTTTTTTTTTGACGCTAAAAGCTTCATTTTATATGATTAACGAACCATAAGCAAAAGTTAAACCACACAGACCGTGACATCTCTTCTATTTCGAAGTCCACAGACTTCTCCGTTAAAGTTAACCTTGCATTCTCTATAAAGTAGCGGGTGGTGGTCGCAAAATGACTCGTAAGGTTTGATGTGTTGCCCCCTTTCGCCGCTATTTTCTTTAGGCCTGTTCTGCAGACAGGGTGGTCATCTGCAGACAGGGTGGTCATCTTCAATTAACTTTCCTTCTGCATCCTTATAAAACCCAAAATATGACCAAACGTCAGACTTGGTCTTCTTAGAAGGCTGAAATATTTCCGAATCTCCGAGTTTTTCACACCGCGGTAATCGACCGCGGTTTTAACGATACTTTAAAGTTCAAACGGTACTACTAACCGTCATTAATTTTACCGCGGTTTACCGTGAAACCGGTAACCGTTTCATCTCTACTCAACATATCGTGTATATCATTGGTACTTGTTTCATTATAAGAGAGCCAAATTAGGCCGGTTTACCTGGTTTAACTTTTGATAGTATTTTTTAAAAAGTAGGTTCTTTTTTCTCTGTTCCAACTGATCAGATGTCTGAAAAAAATAAATATTATGACATATTGTGTATCGTAAAAAATGACTTGAAGTATTGCAATATTATAATTTTTGCCATATCGCCCACCTCTAGCACAACGTGAATAAAAATACTAAAAATATATTGTGGCCCAGAGCAGCGTAGCTCTACAGTGAGTGGTGCTGACTGATGATTATGCTTTAACTCACCATTCTCTCTGCATTTTGCTCAGGCCCAGGTAGATCTTCACCTCCTTCTTCGGAGGAAGACTCCTCTCCACTTCTTGTTTGATCCGGCGCAGCAGGAACGGCCGCAGCACCTGAGAACGAGCACACAGTGACCTTAATCGCTAATCGGACTAAAATCTTCTCACATTTATGCAAAATCTAAATTACTGGCACTCAGAACTGTTTGCTTTGCTCCTGTTTCCAACAGTTTCATGCAAATAACAGAGAAGAAACTTGTAACTTCTTAGTTAAATAAGTCAATTCCAGTTTCCCAACACACACTTTACTGGCCCCAAAAGTGTTAACAGCCAGCCAAATACATTTTGTCCCATTTTAACAAATCGCCAAATATATTTTATACTGTTCTGAATAAACATTTTGCAGTATTTCTCAACATGAGACGCAATATCAGCTCTTTGAGTTTTATTATACAATATACAATAATAATATTACAAATTATAATTCAGACCTTTTTTTA